GAACGTGTATTGCCTGCAGAAACCATCCGGAAAACCCAAGAGGCTGCTTTAAACCCCAACGTGTGAAAGGCCCCAAACCAGGACTTAGTGGATTAGTAAGGCTGAAAAGGACCATCACAGTCATCTGGTTTTGTTTCCTACATAACACAGCTGAAGAACTTCACCCACTCATTTCAGCATCAAAGCCATAACTTCTGCTGAAGCTCTTGCATAGCTTTAGAAAGACACTCAGTCTTGATTTAGAGACTGAAAGTAATGCTCAATCCACCACATTCCTAAGCCAAATGTTCCAGCCATTAACTACTCTTGCTATTAAAAAGGCACACTTCCAGGGCAATTTTATCTAGCACCAGCTTCATAGTCAGATCCTGCTACATCCTTCCTCACTGTCCTAAAGAGTAGGTTACAGTCAGGTTTAAGTTATGTGGACAACCCTAAGAACCACTGCATGCTTTCTTGGATAGTCTTGGAAATATGTCACCTGAGAAGATTTATGAATGGACAAGTTCATTAAAAATACCACTTGCAAGAAATTAAGCAGAATAACCCCCTCTCTTCTGATGAACTTCTCTGCATATTTGCGTGTATCTGTGTTTTAATTTGCTTTTTGATGGATCTGAGATGATATGGACAATGAGATACACGTAAATATGTATCACACAGAGCTCTCCCCCAGCACATGAGTAGAGGCATAATTCTGTGCATCAAAGCAGTAGTCTGTGTCACATCCAGCACAGACACTGAACAATGTCCCTTTAGAAAGGGCAGAGGGTGAGAGTAGCTTTATGACACTATTGATTTATTCTGTGCCTGCAGTTAAAAACTATACCCAGACAGACAATAAAAATAACTGCTCTAACCATATAACAGCTTCCTGCTACTAAAATGGATTTTACACTTAAAGTCATGGAGGGCTTTTCTTTTTTTCTCCAAGTCTCAATTATGACTTTTTTCTGAATAAATGAAAACGAGAAATTGTCAGAACTAATTTAGTCCTGATGTTGTGCTTCTTTCTTCTCTCCTCAGTGTTTAAAAAGGCCAGGATTATTTTCCTGTTGCAAAGTTTTGTTTTAAGTGCACTAGTAAGCACAATAACCTGGTATTAATCAGACCAGATAATTTGGTGCACCACTTTCACATGAAAAAATAAGCAGTGGGTGTCATAATCTGGAATGGATGTAGCATACAAAACTAAACTGATTATGGTCTTTGTGGTCAACTGGATGAGATGGGGTTGAGGTCTTGACTTTAGATTTGAATGTTAAAATAATATCTAGAGCAACAGAGTCTTCTCCTGGAAAACCTGTTTTCGCTCTAAGGACCCCATAAATTTACAGGCTGAGATTTAGACAAACTGCAAGTGGTTTGCTGCACTGAAACTGGTGTCTCAAGCAAGTTTCTAGCAGGTTTCTGTGGTAATTAGCAAGTATTTCAGATAATAGGGAAGGAATCTTAAAAATGGAAGACCTGGACCGTGTGGGCATGAATGGATCAATGAAATGTTTTAAGACCACATAACTCTTCCTTGAGGTCTTTACCAAAACCCCTGAAGCTGATGAAAAAAAATTGAAATGGTGAGAAGGCAATGGGCTCATGAGTTGGCACCAGTGGCAGCTGGAGAGGTTCTGTCCTTCTGTACCTATAATAACAGAGAGTTTTGGACAGAAATGCAGTGATTTGGAGCAGGGAAATTATTGATCTGAAACTTGGGCTTTTCTTCAGATTTGTCAGCAGGGCCAGTTCTCTGCTTCAGTTCATCAGTTCACATAGCAGCACCTATAGGCACAAAACATGGATAATGAGCTGATACAAATGAAAGCTCAGAACAGAAGGGAAAATCCCAAACTATATGTGAGGCAGTGTGAGACAGGATGAGGCAATGAGGTAGAGCAAAGAGAGATGTACTTCACAGCCTGTTGCTCTGCAGAATGGAGATGAGCAGCCTGCCTGCATGGGGTCAGACAGCATAAGGAAGAGTACATTGGGCTGGAAAAATAATGTTCAGAAAAAGGAAAGGGAGGAGGAATCTGCTATTCAAGTGTCATTCCCTTTCCATAGGTTTTATGATTTCAGATATACTGCCTGAATGACACATAATGTGAGATACTGTAATGTGATCTCCTGTCCCTGGAGATGCTCTCAGAAATTAGATGATTCCATCAGCATGGCTTTTACAAAAGTGAGCAAACATTGTAATAAATGAACTCAAAGAGTGAGAAAATCAAGATTAGACGCTTCACATCTGGCTGGGGGATTTTTCCCACTAATATATGCTCTGTGATAAAGCTTAGATACATTAATTAACTTGCCTTAAAATTGACTTAGTGAATACGTTTGCAAGATACCTTTATGTTTTAATCTGTAAAACATACAAATAGGAATGTTTACACAAAAAAAGACCCTGTGGAAATCATATAGGTCCACCCCAGGGAAAGAAGACAGAAGACTTCTTTCAGTTTTGTTTTCATGTGTCCTTTTGGTGGTTCTGGCAAAGGGAAACCCTAGCTTCAGTTCTTGCAGTGGGTGTTATTGTCTGCTGAAATGCTCAGTTGGACATTGGAAACAGGGATCTTCTCTGATTTCTCTGAATTTCATGTAATGGTCAGCAGACAATATGTAAGACTGAAATTAAAATTTTCCTTTCAATTACAGGGTTAATTGTTGATCCTCAATGTATCTCAACTCCTCTGGACAAACCAGAGCTTACATCCAGCTCTGCCCTCACATAGGATTTGCCACACAATTTCAAGAGCACAGTTTCCCAATGAATCATTACTCTCTGTTCCTTACACCTCACTTCCATGTTTAGTACTTTTAGGCAGAATGATTATTTTACATCCTTCCAATCATCATGCTCATCCGAGGGCTCCGAATATCAAACCAATTTCAAACCAACATGGTTATACTGTTCAGCTCACAGATCAGTGTGCTGTGGGACCCCTATGCAAAGACATCATGGATGGCTCCCAACTCCTGCTTTCCGTCTCCCTCCATGAGCCCAAGAGCCTCTCAGACAGAACCCAGCTCTAAATGGGTGTTCATGGCCTGTTGCAGCAGGTTGCACCAGAGCTTTGCCAGCCTGGGGTAAAATCCTGACCTCTCTGGCTGGGAAGCTTAACTGGGAGAAGAATTTCTTTCTGAAAGTCCTAACAGCTCTGCAATGTTGGAAAAAATCCCTATGGGGGAGTGATCCCTTCTGGTGCTTTTCAGAGCCTGCTCTTCAGAGTAGCAGATATATTTATATTGGAGGTGGATTGCTAAGTACTGTAACTACTACACAGGAGCTAGGCACAACAAACCAGCTCCCCAGGTTGATGCTGTGCTTGAGCACAGCTACATGGGTGTAGATGGCTGCACAGCTCCATAACTGTGACAAAACACAAATCCTGAGTAGAGAATTCTTTAAGGTAGCTGTGGCACCTGGGGGTTTGTGCTGTGAAGATGCTCTGCAGGAGCAGAAATAATCGAGAGATTGAAGAGTTTTATCAGGAAAGGCAACATTCTTGGAGTCTGCTGGTACAGGTCAGAACAGAGGGTATGTCTTTGGTGACACAGTAGATAATGGGACATGGAATGGCCTGATTCAAAGGGGAAAAGGCCTTGTCTTACCTGGTGTGGCCCCATATTGTAGATTGATTGCACTTATGCAATGTGAGCATTCAAAAAACTTGTGTCAGCATCTAATCCTTGAATTTGCATGGTTCTGGGACTTGATGCTACATCCAGGAGGTTGTTTCAGCATAGCTTCCTGGAGGATTAAGCGAATGTATTCTGCCTCATCCATTCCCCCTACAACATCAGTGAAAGAGCAGCAGAGGATCCAATGTGCTGCATCTTTCTGCACTTCTAGCTGAAAGTTTCGTTTGGGAAAGAAACAGGCTAAACAGAACAAACAGGAGGTAAACCTGAGGGATCTGAGTGGCTGTGACTGTTTGCAACCTAGTGAGCTGGTCTTTGAGAATACTCTGTTCACTAGCTGGATGCCAATTGCCAAGCGATGCTATCAGTTGATTAAAACACAGCCTGCCAGCTTCCTGCTTGATAAAACTAAGTACAATCTGATTGGGAATTCTCAAATCCATTACAGAATGGCTGGTCCATCACTTAAATCACCATACACCGCTTGCCCATGAATCATCAGCATACTTTGGTGATATATTTGCAGCAGCTAAACCCTGACAAAAGACCTGACAGCTCGTCAAAAATGGTCCCTGAGTGCCGGATTCTGGGGGGTGGGAAATGGCAGGAGCTTCGGACCATGAGGGTTTCCTGTTGTTCCCTGCTCAGCTGGGTGAAGGTCATTTCCTCTCTTCTCTCACGCAGAAGAAGCTGAACCCTCAACCCTTGAAGATATGTCTGTGAGCTCCTAGAAACAACAACCAGCCCCTACAAGGAGCCCTGTCCTGCATGTCCCCACTGACAAGGCAGGATCACTCCCCAAAGAGGAGTACTGGTCACTACACTTGCCTCCCTTCAGGTAAATAAGGCAGTCCCAGGCTGCAGAGGAGAGAAATGCCATGAACTATTACAAATCAGTCTTACAATTTATTTCTTCTGCAAGCTGTAACATACACACACAAAAAAAAAGCCAACAAAAAAACCCAAGCCCAGGGCTGCAGAGCCAGGCCAGCATTCCTGCAGAGGAAGGAAGGGGGCATGCTGCCAACCCATTAAGAATAATCCACTAGCGGGTTGGGGTGTTTAAAAAAAGCCCTCTTTTGTTGGCTCTGTGGAGGGTTTTTTATCTGCTGACTTGGAGGTGGATGCCCAACTCAGTGTTTGCACATCAGCTGCAATGTATCCTTGATCATCCCAATGTGATAGATGGAAGTGTTATGTGAGGAATTGCTGAGGGACACTTGTTAACTAAATAACAACACTGAAATACCAGAAGAATAAGTCAACCCCAGCAGAAGCACAAAGTCTTCGTGACTTAACAGAAATAAGAAATTAGGAGGGGAACAAATGATGTAAAATCTAAAGAAAGTAAGCAAATGCAATAAAATTTGGAGGCCATTTATTACTTATCAGCTAAGCAGCAGATTATAATGAAATAGTGAAGCGAGAAAGATAAAGTCCTAATCATAGGAATGCTCAGATAATGCCTCGATTGCCAATGTTATCCTCCAACTCCACCACTTCCCATCCATGTCCTTTCACCTCCTCTCTCTATGTCCCTTCTTTGATTCTTCTTCCCCTTCTTTTTTTTTTTTTAATAATTAAACATTGCAAGACCTACTCAAGAAACATATGGATAATACAACACGTGTCAAATCTCAATACAAATCCTTATCTGGTGTAAAGTCAGCGTAACTCCATCTCTGGTCTCAACACATTTTATTTACAAGAAAATGCACAAGCAGGAGACAAATATCTATTGTTTGCACAGTTTCAAAAACATAAACCTTAACATAAGGGGTTATTTGTGCTCCCCCTTAAACTGCTGAGAGTCGTGGAAGTCTCTCCAGAAGAGAGACTGACTTGGAATAGGTGTAGTAAAGCAGATTCACAGACACAGTTTCTTCATTTAAACTAACACAAAGTGAGAGGACAAAGAGGCTCCCAAAATTCTGTCCTTGCGGTTCAAATTTGAATACATGTTTTTAAAGCTGGCCAAGCAAATGAAATTAAAACTCATGTAATTAAGTTCCAGTAATTTGAGCAGAAAGTAGTCCTGGGAAAGTTAGCAGGCTGAAAATGTTATGGTGAAGCAGATATATTGAATTTTTTTGTGCCATTCCTATCACATCAGAAGTCCACAAAGAGGACATTTAGGGTAAGTCAAGAGTTTCCAGTCTCTGGCATGCAGACCCCAGAGGTCCATGGACTAAACCACACAAGCAGCCAGCAGGATGGTGTGTTCCCACCTGAAGATCTCTTCAAGTTTTCTGTGCAGGACCATGACACTGCTCCAAAGTCTCCATCCTCAGGGGTGCTGCTGCCTTCTTCTCGGGTGCATGTGGCATTGCTCTCTGTTCCTTACACCCACCAGCAGTCCTGGCTTACCTCCTGCTGCTGCAGAAACTTTTGGCCTCCTCATGGTGCAGATTTATAAGCAGTGTGATCTCCTCTGCATCCAGGCATCACCACTCCGGGTCTTCTGGGAGACTAAGGTTGGAAATTGGAAAAGGGATCACAAAAAGTGATAAAAGTAGAAGAAAAAAGATCAGCAGCAAGGTGGAACAGCTAGAGAAGACTGTGCAGTTAATAAACAGAAAGGATAACGAACCAAGAGAAGCCTTGGTGGAAGAAAGAGGAGCAGAGGTCACAAGAGCTGCCAGTCACCAGCAAAAAGTATGTCAATAAAGCAGTTGACCCTCTCTATAGCTCAAGCTCCACTCCAGGCTGGCATGGGAGCTCTGGGCAGTTTGACATCCTTCCTTTTGCAAAGCAGGGTTACGTACATCCCGAAGGACTTTGTGGTGCTGTGGCTGCCCCTCGGATCAGGGCTGAGTGTCCCACCAAGCCCTGCTTGCTTTAGGAGAATGGTCCCCACTGGCTCCCCTCTGGAAGGAATCTGTGTGCACTGAAGCTGTTCTGCAGCTGGATCAGTGCCCAACAAATGGAGGGGGAATACTGCAAACCCACCCCAAATGGAGACACAAGTGCAGACAGAACTGAAGCATAACCCAAGAGAAACAAGGCTACTGTGAGTTGCCTTAAGTTCACTCAATATACCTGGGGGAAAACTGTAGGGTATTTAGAACATAAAAATATTGAAAACCATCAGAATTTGTTGTAACATGCTGTTTTACTAGGTCATATTGTACCTTCAACATTTCCACACACTTCAGCTAATATCAGTTGGATCTGCACATAATGAACAGTGAAACACAGAGTTTGCCCAATGATGACTGAATTACCCAGGAGGAACTACAATTGATAAGACAAGGATTTATGGACCTATTGTTTTCTAGGTTCTTGTAAATAATCCTAATTGGTGTTAATCATCCACCCTCTGCTTAGTGTTATCACCAAGCAAAGTACACTTCCTAAAGAAGCTATTTAGGGGCATAATCCTTCTGAAAGGCAAGACAGCTATTGACTTCCACAGGACCTGGACTGAGGTACTCAACCAGAGGAAAGAGCAAAACACATCACAGTGTCTTTCCTTGTTCACCTTGAAAAGTTCCTTTTCGATAAACTCACAGTAAATTCAGTGTGTTACAGTAATCCCTTCCACGTGGGTTTCGTGCAAGGACTCTCCAGTCTTTCTACCAGCTCGGGAAGGTACCACACAGGATGTAAATTTGCTGGTGATATTTACTGCCAGTTTGCAGCTCTTGCCTGTGCCCCCTTGTGATGGGCTGGCTGTGTCATGTCTGAGAAAGGATGCTTCGGAAGAGCAGACACCTGCACCAGGACTTGGTGTCTTTCTGTCTCTGATTTTATTGTTATTCCCTGAAAAAGTGCTTTGATCTCTTGGTGCTTCACCGTTTGTCACACCGTGCGCTTGTCACGAGGGGACTGTGGAGCTCGAGACCTCCTTGCTTGCTGGTTTTAGGTGTAAGGTTTGGTGGGTTCAGTTTTAGCATACAGATGAGCTTGCTTTGACCTTAACAGGTCTGCACTTTAAATAACGCTTAAATAGCATTCTAGAGGGTACAGTCACACGCTGCTTGCTTACGGAAACTACAAGGAAACCAGACAGCTTTTCAATTTGTGTATCAAAGGGAAGGAGATTTACACATAAAAGGGTGAATTATTTTGATTTGTAGTTTTCGAGCCACTATACATTCTCTGACATAAATGTTCCCTTGTCTCTGGTTTCTGATAGTTCATATCAGGTTTGGTGGCCTAGATTTTCAAAAGTGGTAATTTCGGAGGCCAATATTTCTCAGTGCCAACTCAAGGTGCCTTAAAGAGACCAGATATTGTTAAGGTACTGCCTGTCTTTGGAAAATTTTGGCCATTTTAGCACCTCTCAAACTTGACACCCCAAAGTGACAGCATGTAAAATCATCAGGGGTGGGTTTGCCAGAGGAATAAAGCCCTTTCTCCCACCACGCTATCCCTTCCACTGCATTGTTCACACAGTTCAGACCTCCATCGCCGCTAAAGGTTCCTGCAGAGTCAACATCACCAGTCCTTTTTGACATTCTCAACCACTGAACATCCTCCATAACCTATAAAAAGAGCTCACTTCCTCAGCTATTTCATCTTTTAAGTAGCTATCAGAGGAATGTCTCCTAAGCTCTGGGTCTGAATAGCCAAAATCTAGCTATATGGTATTTGAGGGAGAGGAGGGGAGAAACCCTATCCCATTATCTGCATTATCCCGTTACCCTTGGATGTCTTCCATGTACTTGGAAGAACAATGCCCCATTCTTGAGGCTTCACATTGCAGCCACTGCCTTTTTGGCAGAAGAAGGGTGGAAGTGGCTCCCTTCAAAGTCAATCAATGTGACATCTTTAATCAATCTAGAAGGTCACCACTGCACTTCCACCCGAAAGGGTTGGGTAAAATTCTCGCTGAGTCCTAATTGTTTGTGGGGGACTCAGGTTGCAGTGGGTGTTGGAAAAAGTCCTTTCTGGTCCTGACCTCAGCACATCTTCTATTCCTAGGCTCTTTGTAGGAGTTTACAATCAAATAAGAATTATACCCGGGACTAAGATACAATGATGCAGAAGTATGTATAATGAAACCCCAAAATACACAAAACTGATTCAGTTTTGTGTTTCTTTATGGCTGTGAACACAATCCAGTTTTGCTGAAAGGTTCAGAAAGCTCAGGGAGCTTTTGTGTGAAGGCAGGTCACAGTTTGAGCAAGCTTACAATGATTTTCAGTTTCACATCACAATCATCTCTGAAATGTCATTGTTCATCTGGGATGTCTGTGAGTGGTCACAAAACAGAAATCTATTGCATTTCAAGGAACTGTGAATAGGAGTGAGGATCAGAGACAGGCATGGGTCAAAACCACTTAAACCTGAAGTCAGGACCCTTTACATAAACAAACCCATCAATACAAAAACACTGAATCTGTTAAGCCAGAAAATTATTCCCCCAAGTTGGAGTCATTTCATTACCACTCTGGCACAACTGGAGCGGGATCCAAAGCCCAGTAAAGTCAAGGGTAGAATTTCCATTGATTTCCAAGGAGTCTGGATCGGATCCTAGATCACATTGTCACACTGCAGCAAAACCCAGCCGTGTTGCAGTGTACCCACCTGCTCTCTAAGGTCTCAGCTCTTGCCGTTCAAATCCACTGCAGGTGCAATGTAGGTTATTCCAGCATTTACTTGGTGCAATGTTAAATAAATACTGTTTTATCAAAATCAGCAATACTGGTTCTTGTTAGTAAATTAGGCCAACTAATGAACACTTTTTCTTAAGAGGATTTGTCTGCTTAAATCACAACCAAATGTCAGAAATCCTTATTCTATCAATCAGACCAGTGCCCTCCTGCACTGGTTGTGGACTAGGGCTGGCTAAAGACACACAAAAAAAGTGAATGAAGACCTTACAATATCTTTTAATGAGGTACTTAGGCTTCTTTTACAACAATTCAGCAAAATCTGGCTAGGTAAGGGATCAGTAGCTTTTGTGTACACAAGTAAGAAGGGAAGAAAGAAAGCAAAAAGAAAGGCAGGCAAGAAGGGAGGAAAGAAGAAAGCAGGGAAAGAAGACCCTGTGTTTCATTTGCTAGTACTTCACGTTGACAAGTCACAAAAACGCAAAAGCCTTTTTAACCTCTTGCCTCCTTTCAACAAAACCATCCACCTGCAAATTAAAATCACCTCCAGACAATGCTGAAATTATTTTCTTAGGCTGTACTCTAATGTAAAATGCTGTGCACACTAAGGAAATTATTTTAAAAATAAGATGTAGAGATTTTTTTTTTTTCTTTCTCTGCAAATCAAAACAGAAGTCTATATCTGAGAGGAATTTCTGGGAAGAACAAATAATCCACCGGAGCTGGTACTAGAGTAGGTGCCCTAAACAAACCTACAGAAGGAGCATAATGAGGCAATGATTTATTGCGTGCTATGCAACTCTCACTGCTGTGCAGTGTGTTGTAAGAACCAGCAAAAAGGAGAGGCAATAATCATACAGCCTCCTCCTCCTCCTCCTCCTCCTCACGTGTTTCTGGATATTACCTGCTCTGGATATGAGTGTGACACCGAGACAGGGCTGCAGCCTCCCTGAGCTGCAGGACTGGCAAATGATCTTTGTGCTGCACCACTTTCGTCTCGTATTTAAAGCACCATCTCCCACTACCTACAAGAAAATTAAAAATCTGTCTTTGGATATTCTGAAATGTTGCACAGTTATAAAATGTCATTTGTGTGGAATGTATTCTTGCTCTGTGCATATAAAAAAGGATTTTCAAGAATGTTTCCATCAGCAGGTGGAATCCTGGATCTTCCAGAGTCAATGGTGAAACTTGCCTTGGCTGCAAAAGGGGTAGCATTTCACTTATGCACTAAGGACTAAATACAGAGAACAAATTCTGCCCTAAGAAATATTTGTAAGAAAATCTTGGTCCTAAAGAATTGCAATCAATCAAAGGAGGAGCAGAAACATGCAAAGTAACCAGCACTGTACCAATCAATACAAATCAACATGAGCCTGACCCTATCTGGGTGGTATTTGCAAGTAGCTGGGCTTTTTTTTTCCATTTAAAATTCATTTGGGTTCTTGTAATGACTGGTGGGTTTCTTGCACTGCTGCCCATATTCCTCTCAATTTCTCCAATTTAAGAATAGAAAAAATTCTCCCCAACTAAGAATTAGTCTTCAAATGTATTTGGTGAGATATTTATAATAAATAAACATGGAAAAAATTACCTGCAGACTACTTGTGCTCAACTTCCCCCTCCCCACTCCCACCCCAAAAGGCTAAATCAGTGAAATAAATTAATTGCTATGAATTATTCAGCTCTACCTGTGGCAATGAAAAATAGCAAGAGCATTAGGATTCTTCTTTGTGTACTAAGCCTCTAATTTATAGAGAATGCATATTAATAAAACACAGGATATTCATCAATATTCAAGTCACTGGCTGCCTCACTATTTAATCTAAAATTACCAGCCAGCTCAAAACTCTTACTAGTTAATCATGCAATCTAAGCCATTCTGATATTGATGGTTAACATTAATTGCCC